TTCCATTCTATCAAATGAGACCAAGAAAACGAGAAAACAACCATAAATACCATACGAAAATACACCACAAAGTCGCTGCTTTAAACGAAAAACATGGTCAGAGTTTTTTCCCTCATGCACCGCATGCTGTAGGATTTTTTTTATACTGTGCACACTGACCACTCAAACCCATTTTCTCATATGTAGGCCTACCAGCTTTCTCTGCAAGATTGGATGCTTCTAGAATTTTGGCGTACTATTATGGGACCGACACTGGCTTGTAAGCTGTAATATTACAGGACCAACAGTGAAAGAGTTAAATTTGTCTGTTACTATTTTTTTTTTCAGAGTTTATTTTTCATTTTATTATTTTTTTAATTTTGTGTTTTATTTTTAAAATTTCTTTATTGTCTATAATACATACATACTCTTCAGTTCATATGCAACAGCGAGGAGACGGTTGGAGGCAGTGGAGATGTCCTGTTTAAGGGCAATGTGTGATGTAAATATTATGCAGAAAATTCGGAGTGTGGAAATTAGGAAAAGGTGTGGAGTTAATAAAAGTATTACTCAGAGGGCAGAAGAGGGGTTGTTGAGGTGGTTTGGTCATTTAGAGAGAATGGATCAAAGTAGAATGACATGGAAAGCATATAAATCTATAGGGGAAGGAAGGCGGGGTAGGGGTCGTCCTCGAAAAGTTGGAAGGAAGGGGTAAAGGAGGTTTTGTGGGTGAGGGGCTTGGACTTCCAGCAGGCGTGCATGAGCGTGTTCGATAGAGTGAATGGAGACGAATGGTATTTGGGACTTGACGATCTGTTGGAGTGTGAGCAGGGTAATACTTAGTGAAGGGATTCAGGGAAACCGGTTATTTTTATATAGCCGGACTTGAGTCTTGGAAATGGGAAGTACAATGCCTGCACTCTGAAGGAGGGGTTAGGGATATTAGCAGTCTGGAGGGATATGTTGTGTATCTTTATAGGTATATGCTTCTAAACTGTTGTGTTCTGAGCACCTCTGCAAAAACAGTGATTATGTGTGAGTGAGGTGAAAGTGTTGAATGATGATGAAAGTATTTTCTTTTTGGGGATTTTCTTTCTTTTTGTGTCACCCTGCCTCGGTGGGAGACGGCCGATTTGTTGGGAAAAAAAAAAAAAAAGTGCAATGTAGACTAGGGTGCAAGCTTTTGTTGAGAAATATTACCCTGACCAAGCTGAAACAAGCTACATCTGCAAGAGGTTCAGCGACAGAACTTTGTCCCACTTCAGGAAAATCTTAAGAGGCCAGAAACAAGAGCTCTTTGGGCAGATATTTTGCATGACAGGGTCCAGTGACTCTCAAGCTGGTCCTAGTGGCTTTAAAAGACAGATGGGAAGTAACCCCAGATAGGGCTTTGATACCTGAAGTCATTATGGAGGAGGATTCCCCCTCCAAAGAATAAACTTTCCTCCTCCCTATCTTCCATAAGCCAACAACAGTCTTCAATAAAGGTATGTAATATTGATTTAATTGTTCATGTATTTATTTTATTTAGTTCTCTTTGTCTTATGTAAAACTCTCATTAATCTCTAAAAAATGTATTTTTTTGTGAACATTTTTGGGTGTCTGGAACGGATTTTTTTTTTCAACAAAAAGAAAAACAAAAGTTTCTCTTTTTAAATTTAGTAATTTAGTAATTGTATTTACATTAATTCTTATGGGAATAATTATTTCGGTTATAGGCCATTTCGGTTTTAGGCTGGCCTTCTGGAACGGATTACGGCCAATAACCAAGGGTCCACTGTATTTTGAATTTGAATGCTCCTTGTGTTTTTCCAGATTCTGTGGACTTTCAAGTCTAGTGGGTAATTTCACTGTACACAAATTTCTTTTGGGTGTAATAACGAAAAAAGTTCACTGACTCTTGTTAAGAATTTAGCTAGGTTACTGGGAGGCTGGCTAAATAACTTGGGTTTGATCCCCAACTGGCCACAGGAAGAAAAATATGATAACACATAGGGGGTTATCAAAAGATTTCAAGACACAGATAATTTTTTTAGTACCCTCAATGAGGATAACAAGAGGCCAGTTATAAATTAAGGAAAAATGTGAAACTGAAGGAGTACTGGTAAATTTTCTTAATAAATAGTGGAAGAATGCAATAAATTGAATGAGGTGCTAGTAGTAATTGTTACAACCAGTGGAAAATTTTATTACCTATTGTGATGCTAGGCTATAACCAGCAATATAAAATAAGGAATTTCTTTATCATATGCTGCACTGTTATGGCCTCCATCAGCATTACTTCCCTACGACAATGATTCTAACATAATAATCGAAGTTGCAGGCTTGCAAAGGATACAAGAATGTAACATTATGGCTTCAGTGACGGGTTAGTACCACTGTGTTACAACCTTTTGTCGATTTTAAGTAGACAGTTTCTACTTGTTATTATTGTGATGGTATACTTTTACATGTTATTTTTGCTATTTCACTTAATATTATATTCAGGAGTAATTCCATTAGTAGCTAAAATGAATTTACTCGACTTTATAATATTATCTGGTTGTATTACTTAGCTTTGTACATAGGTAGGTTATTTAATTAGTCCAAACTGCTGGTGCAACCTGGCCAAGCACCAGTAGGTGATTTGAGCTGCTCAACCCCTGCTCCGACCGAGTCAAAGTGGGCTGGTAAAGCCTCACTTTGTTCAGTTCATACCTTCCTCTGGACCAGGAAGGGTTTAGGGAAGTGTCCACCTCTAGACCAACATTCGCCTCCCTAGAAAATACATACCAGGAATTTTCGGAACTCATTGCTAAGATTTATCTTGGTTGGAGAAGGCAGTTGAGAAGCTCTTAGAGAAAGTGAAGCCAAGTGAGCAAGCCTCTGTGGTGTAAGAGGGCTTACTGCAGAGTGAATCCTATGTAAGAGCTCTATCAATGTGGTGCTCGAGTTTTTAAGCAACGCCTGTGCATGTACATATACAGTGGAACCTCAAATATCAAACTTTCTTCAGTCCAGAAAGCTGTTCGAGTGCCTTTACCGAATGAATTTATTCCCATCAGGAATAATGTAAATTAGATTAGTCCATTTCAGACCCTCAAAAATACACTTATAAAAGCACTTACAAAAATACACTTACATAATTGGTTGTGTTGGGAGCAGTTTGATTTTTGAGGTTCCACTGTACTGATATTTCCTGACTCACTCAGAGCCATTTGTAAATACTTAACCTAGTACTGTGATGTTTTAATGCGGAATGGCATAAGTGTTCTACTCATAGTACAAAATATGAGAAAGTGGATTTCAGTGGTTATTATGGTTATTAATAAATTAAATAGAAACCAAGGAAATTCCTTTTCCCCCACGAATGTAGACCCCTAGACGTGGTAAGTTTGTTACGAAAAGCACTATAACCCAGGGACCAGCTGACTATGTTCATAACACACTGTCATGGAAAAGGGAGAGGATGATAACAAGGAATAAGTCTCATAATAACATAATAAAAGAAAAAGAACCTAACACAAACTGGGAGTTGTCACAGTTGCTCTTTGCTGATGACACTGTACTTTTGGGAGATCCTGAAGAGAAGTTGAAGAGGTTGGTGGATGAGTTTGGTAGAGTATATAAAAGAAGAAAATTAAAAGTGAATATAGGAAAGAGTAAGGTGATGAGGTTATATAAAAAAAAAAAAACAGGTAATGAAAGACTGGATATCACATTAGAGGGAGAGAGTATGGAGGAGGTGAATGTATTCAGATATTTAGGAGTGGACATTTCGGCATATGGGTCTATGAAAGATGAGGTGAATCACAATTGACATGGGGGAAAAAGGTGAGTGGTGCAATGAGTAGTCTGCAGAGACAAAAAACTGTCCATGGAAGCAAAGAAGAGAATGTATAAGAGTATAGTTATACCAACGCTCTTATATGGATATAAAGCATGGGCGATGAATGTTGCAACAAGGAGAAAGCTGGAGGCAGTGGAGATGTGTCTGAGGGCAATGCGTGGTGCGAGTATAATGCAGAGAATTCGTAGTTTGGAAATTAAGAGGAGGTTCAGGATTACCAAAATTATCATCATCCAGAAGGCTGAGGAGAGATTGTTAGGTGGTTCAGACATGTAAAGAGGATGGAACAAAATAGAATGATTTCAAGAGTGTATAAATCTGTAGTGGAGGGAAGGCGGGGTAGGGGTCGGCCTGGAAAAGGTTGGAGAGAGGGGGTAAAGGAGGTTTTGTGTGCAATAGGCTTAGACTTCCAGCAGGCATGTGTGAGCGTGTTAGATAGGAGTGAATGGAGACAAATGATTTTTAGGACTTGACATGCTGTGGAGTGTAGCAAGGTAACATTTATGAGAGGATTCAGGGAAACCGGCAGGCCAGATTTGAGTCCTGGAGATGGGAAGTACAGTGCCTGCATTCTGAAGGAGGGGAGTTACTGTTGCAGTTCTATAACTGTAGTGTAAACGTGCCTCTGGCAAGACAATGATGGAGTGAATGATGGTGAAAGTTTTTCTTTTTTGAACCATCCTCCCTTGGTGGGAAACAGCCGATGTGTAAATAAACAAAATAAAAAATAAGAAAAGTGATATAGAAGAGGTTGTAATATAGATATAGAGGTGCTCAGGCAACAGTAATGAAAAAAAAACATGGGTACAGAGCAAGCTTTCATTGTGACGAAGTCAATGGGCCGATAAAAAAATCTACGTAGAGAAAACTTTTTTTTATCACTCCACTCATTTCCCACAGAGGAAGGGTGGTCCAAAAAAGAAGAAACGCTTCCATCAGAGGGGTGCCGATACTACAGTTCAAAACTGTAAATAACACTGTCACAAAATAATTTTGCTCTGGACCTGTCTTTTTTTCTGAGTTTAGAAAACTGTTCAAAGACTTTTCAGTTGTGTCAATCCCTCTGGAAAATGAGTCACATCAAGGTCTCAAGTTATATATCAAAATCAGTAATACAGTAATTAGTTTTCAAATGACTTTATTGAGAAGTATAGAGTAAAATATAATATGAATAAAATGATGTTAACTATACCCATGTTTAAATCGGGATGATACTCGAGCAGTTTGTTATCATAGACTGTTCGCACACGAAGTTGTCTCTTGACAGCAGAGATCAATGGTGGTCTCTGGAACTGTGCCCCTTTCAGTTTGTCCATTGTCTATCGAAGAAAAAGACAACGAACCAATATTACCTATGGGGGTATGACGTTTAAAAAGATATTGTATCCAAAATGGAATTATCAATCCATTTGGAACATTTCATATAGGGTACAAAAAATATGGTATTTAAAATGAGTTACTTAATGAATTTTATACTATTACAGTGGACCCCCGGTTAACGATGTTTTTTCATTCCAGAAGTATGTTCAGGTGCCAGTACTGACTGAATTTGTTCCCATAAGGAATATTGTGAAGTAGGTTAGTCCATTTCAGACCCCCAAACATACATGTACAAACGCACTTACATAAATACACTTACATAATTGGTCGCATTGGGAGGTGATCGTTAAGCGGGGGTCCACTGTATTACAAACAAAACTATAGCATATATTTGTTCCAAATTAGGTATTCTGCAGTAATTATTCAGATAAAAGGGAAAAATTAATTTCAAAAATTAAATAAAAAAGTCGCTACAGATGCAATATTACTGAAACAATTATTACTGGTGAACTCACCTGCCTGACTTTCAGCTCATTACCTACACTCTCATGCAGACGAAAAACACACACATATTCTTTACCAGCTCCCTGCTGAGATTTGACTAGGCGAGTTGATCTTTCCAAGCAAACAATTAAACAGCCTGGGGAAAACAAACAAGATGTAGACTGTATTAAAAATAAAGTAATAATAATAATAATAATAATAATAATAATAATAATAATAATAATAATAAAGACCCCATCAGACAGTAGACTGGTTGACATTAACCTTCCAGCCAGACATTACCCTCCTGGTTGACGTTAACCTTCCAGCCAGATATTACCCTCCTGGTTGACATTAACATTCCAGCCAGACATTACCCTCCTGGTTGACATTAACCTTCCAGCCAGACATTACCCTCCTGGTTGACATTAACCTTCCAGCCAGACATTACCCTCCTGGTTGACATTAACCTTCCAGCCAGACATTACCCTCCTGGTTGACATTAACCCTCCAGCCAGACATTACCCTCCTGGTTGCCATTAACCTTCCAGCCAGACATTACCCTCCTGGTTGACATTAACCTTCCAGCCAGACATTACCCTCCTGGTTGACATTAACCTTCCAGCCAGACATTACCCTCCTGGTTGACATTAACCTTCCAGCCAGACATTACCCTCCTGGTTGACATTAACCTTCCAGCCAGACATTACCCTCCTGGTTGACATTAACCTTCCAGCCAGACATTACACTCCTGGTTGACATTAACCTTCCAGCCAGACATTACCCTCCTGGTTGACATTAACCTTCCAGCCAGACATTACCCTCCTGGTTGACATTAACCTTCCAGCCAGACATTACCCTCCTGTCAAATGAATGTGAAATGGAAAGATGTTGAATTTGTTGCACTTTGGCAGGATACCTTTGATGAATTCCAAGAGTTTTTCTACTTCTGGAGCCCAGCCATAGGCCAGGCTCAGATGGTGTTTGCCTGGTCAACCAGGCTGTTGCTGTTGGTTGCCCACTGACACACACATCCATCACAGCCTGGTTGATCTGGCACTTGGTGAAGATACTTGATCAGTTTCCTCTTCAAGACTTCTACACCACTTGTTCCAGCAATGTTTCTGTTATCTTTTAATAAGATGTTAAATAGTCTGTGTCTACTGACTAGTGTAAGCACATTAGATAAGAATGTGTGGAAGGAAATTATTCTATAGTTGAATGCTGTTGGAGTGTGAGTAAAGTAACATTTATGAAGGGATTCAGAGAAACTGGTTAGCCAGACTTGAGTCCTGGAAGTGGGAAGTACAGTGCCTGCACTCTGAAGGAAGGGTGGGGATATTTGCAGTCTTGAACTGTAGTATTGGCACCTCTCTGGCTTATCACTTATCACTCTAAGCAAGTGATAACAATAATTTTTGTACCACTGAATATATCATTGCTTAGTTAATCTTAAGTTAATTTTAAGCCTGCCCATAATGCTCTGCATACAAGGATCTTTGGCATGCTGCACTTTAAAAATTGTATTCCTTGTACTTCTCTGTCACCCTACCTCAGTGGGAGAGGGCCAATGCTTTGAAAAAAAACAAAAAAAAAAAAAAATTCAACAAACCGGTCGTATCCCACCAAGGAGGGGTGGCCCAAAAAGAAAAACGAAAGTTTCTCTTTTTAAATTTAGTAATTTATGCAGAAGGGGTTACTAGCCCCTTGCTCCTGGCATTTTAGTCGCCTCTTACAACACGCATAGCTTACAGAGGAAGAATTCTGTTCCACTTCCCCATGGAGATAAAAGGAAATAAACAAGAACAAGAACTAGTAAGAAACAGAAGACAACCCAGAGGAGTGTGTGTATATATATGCTTGTACATGTATGTGTAGTGTGACCTAAGTGTAAGTAGAAGTAGCAAGATGTACCCGAAACCTTGCATGTTTATGAGACAAAAAATGGACACCAGCAATCCTACCATCATGTAAAACAATTACAGGCTTTCGTTTTACACTCGCTTGGCAGGACAGTAGTACCTCCCCGGGCGGTTGCTGTCATTTAGAGAGAATGGATCAAAGCAGGATGACATGGAGAGCATTTAAATCTATAGGAGAAGGAAGGCGGGGTAGGGGTCATCCTCGAAAAGGTTGGAAGGAAGGGGTAAGGGAGGTTTTGTGGGTGAGGGGCTTGGACTTCCAGCAGGCATGCATGAGCGTGTTCGATAGGAGTGAATGGAGACGAATGGTATTTGGGACTTGACGATCTGTTGGAGTGTGAGCAGGGTAATATTTAGTGAAGGGATTCAGGGAAACCAGTTATTTTTATATAGCCAGACTTGAGTCTTGGAAATGGGAAGTACAATGCCTGCACTCTAAAGGAGGGGTTTCAGGATATTAGCAGTTTGGAGGGATATGTTGTGTATCTTTATACGTATATGCTTCTAAACTGTTGTGTTCTGAGCGCCTATGCAAAAACAGTAATTATGTGTGAGTGAGGTGAAAGTGTTGAATGATGCAAGTATTTTCTTTTTGGGGATTTTCTTTCTTTTCGGGTCACCCTGCCTCAGTGGGAGACGGCCGACTTGTTAAAAAAAAAAATAATATAATTTTTTTTAAATGTGGATACTGTGAGCACTTTTAATGTTGGAGATCTGGTCAGAAAAGGGGGTTAATGAACAGAAGAAATATGGCTTTAACCCTTTGACTGTCGCAGGCCCCTTTCTGAAACTGTCATTCTATGTCGCAAAATTTTGAAAAAAAAAAAAAAAAAAAAAAAAAAAAAAAAAAAAAAAAAAATCTTATGAAATGACAGAGAATCTTTTCCCGATGGTTGATGACACCAAAAGTTCGAAATTTGATCGAAAACTCACAGAATTACACTACCGCGAAGTTAGTGGTCTCGGCGACATATACGTATTGGCGATTTCGCCGACTTTGAGCCCTGTTTTTAGCCAATTCCATTGTTCCAGTTGACAAAACTCATAGTTATTTCTTTAGAACTCCATTTTATCTATCAGTTGAGTAGAAGAAACCGCCCATTTACCGATTTGAACTACCCAATAAAGTGGTCAGAAATTGGCAATATGGCCAATTTCAAGCAAATCAAAAAAGATGCCAATTTCAAAATAGGGTCCAGAATAAGCAAGGTAGACATTCTTGGCACTAAAATAACATATCCTCTGTTCATTAGTCACATCTCTAGGCCCCTCGTATATTACTATTGCTTTCTATTTTTATTTTTTATTCATACAAAAAAATACAAAATTTACTGGTATGCAGACTACTGCATTATTTTAAAAATGGTTTAAATAATATCAGTGCACTAGTAAAAGAATATTAGACTCCCCAGATGACGTGTATTGGACGTGTGGTGTGATTTGCTTACTCTTGAACATTGGTAAAAATCGAACATTTCCGCTACTCTGAAAGTACATGTAATGAAAACCATCTCCATTTCTTTAATATGTTTTCCATTTTATCACCTAAGACCATGAAAACGAGAATACACCGATAAATACTATACGAAAATATACCTCAAAGTCGGCGTTTTAATCCCAAAAAACGGTCAGTGTTTTTTTTTTTCTCATTATGCACTGTGTGCTGCAGGATTTTTTTTATGTGGTGCACACTGACCACACAGACCCATTCTCTCACATGTGGGCCTACCAGCTTTCTCCTGCTTGATTTGAAGCCGCTAGAATTTATGAGTACTATATATACGTCAGAAACAGTGGCGCGTAAGACGTATTTATACGGCGTAAACAGTCAAAGGGTTAATGCCCAGAATGTCTACTGTGTTTATTTTGGACTTGGGCTTTTAAATTGGAATTATTTGAATTTTGTGTAAAACTGGCGAAATTACTGACTTGTGCGCACACTATATGGTAGTTGTAATAGTTAAATGGGCAGTTTCTTGTGATCAATCGATAGAACGAAAGAAATATTAGCGAAATACCTGAAAACTTAGCCAAATTAAGCAATGAAATTGGCCTAAAGACTAATATTGAGCAACATCACTAAGGATAGATTGCAGACTGCTAACATTGCACCTGCGTAATTTCTTAAGTTGTCCACCAAATTTCGTAGTTTTGGTGTCGCTGCCTTCAGGAAAAGAATCTATTATTTCAATACTTTTCCTCTCATGCTTCCCCTGTCAAGAAAAGTGTTCTTATCTCCCTCTTTCTCCGTGCCCTCCGCATCTGTGATCCTCAGTTCCTTCCAGCAGAAATTTCCACTCTTTATAATTCGTTTTCCCGTCTTGGCTACCCTTCCCATTTCATAGACTCTGCCCTCTCACGTGCCAAACGCAATTTCTTTTCTCCCAAATTCTCTACTCCTGGGAACTCTTCTATCCTCTGCCTTCCCTACATTTCCGGTATTTCTAATCTCAACAGTTCTCTCCATCCCTTATATATCAAGCTTACCTTCCGCCAGACTAACACTCTTCACACTAATCTCGTTCATACCTCGCCTCCCTCTACAGATGTTCCTGGTGTTTACTCTATTTCTTGCTCCTCCTGTCATTTTCAATACTTCGGAGAAACTGGTCGATCTCTTTCTGACAGACTTAGGGAGCACAAAAATAGTGTTAGGATTGCCGACACTAACAATGCTCTTTTCTGTCACGTCAGAGATCATAGCCATCCTATTGACTAGTCTTCTGCTAAAACTGTCTTCCCTACTTCCAACTCGAACAGTCGCCGTCTAGTTGAATCCTCTCTAATAAACAACTTTCCTTGTATGAACCTTAGCCCTGGCTTCGCCTCTGTAGATGCCTTCCTCTCCCACTACATTGTAAAATGCTCCAAACTTCAGAACACCTGTGACTTAACCTGACTCCTCATTTTTTCTTTTTTCTTTTTCTTCTCCCTCTTCCCCTTTCATCTTTCCTTTTCTCCTCTGGTTTGTCTTTCTCTCTTCTGTCTCGTGTTTCTGTTCCTTCTTCATTTATTTCACCACTTCCCCTTTCACGCACCTCTGTGCGCTTGCTCTCCCTCAGTGGGCACCTAAGCTCTCTTGCAGTGCTCCCTTCCTATGTTTTTGACTGCTCGTCCTCCTTATTTCCCACTTCTACCACTACCACTACTACTACCTCTTCTACTACTACAACTACTGATGAAATTAAGACACATGAGCGGCATCTGGTTGTCTTTGTTGTGGACGTTTCGCCATCAAGTGGCTGGCTGGATGGCGAAACGTCTACGATAGTGATGCCCGGGTGTTGCGCATGAGACTTAATTTCATCTTGTCGGTATTACATACCATTCTTGTACTACTACTACTACCACCACCTCTTCCTGCCTATATATAGCCGTCCTCCTCCACTTCTGGTTAGTGTGACTTTGTCAATGGTCCAAGTCGGACCGAAACGTCGTCGTAAGCTTCTCTCTTTTATGTGCGGGTTATTTGTGTAACATAACTTAAGACAGGTTAAACTATTATACATTTCAACTTTATCACATTTACCTTCAAATTCATTTGATAAAATTTTAATATGCCATTTATACAAATACAAATACAAATAATTGCGTACATGAGCGTGTTCGATAGGAGTGAATGAGACGAATGGTATTTGGGACCTGACGATCTGTTGGAATGTGAGGAGGGTAATATTTAGTGAAGGGATTCAGGGAAACCGGTTATTTTTATATAGCCGGACTTGAGTCCTGGAAATGAGAAGTACAGTGCCTGCACTCTAAAGGAGGGGTTTTGGGAGTGGAACCACAGTCGATGGCCTCCACTCCAAACCAACAGATACAGATACTAATGCCGGAAAAAAAATCCCCCCCCCCCAGTACCAACAATACTACCAGTCCGATGACATTCTTCTTTGCAAATATACAGGGTCTAAAGCCAGCAACAAACAACAAAATAACTTTCATCCGTGGACTGCTTGCAGAGGCAAAGGCAATGTTCGCGGCTTTCACTGAGACCCACATAAAGGATCACTTGGACAACGAAATATGGATCCCAGGTTACAACCTATACAGATGTGACAGAGTGAACAGGCAAAAAAGGGGGGGGGGGGGGGTTGGCCTGTACATTGCAGTCACTTGTTTGCACAGAACTGCTTAATGCCTCAAATGATGTAGTGGAAGTTTTAGCAATAAAGGTCGAGAACCAAAACCTAGTCATTGTGGTAGTCTACAAGCCTCCGGATGCAACATCCCAGCAATTCCAGGAACAGCTGTTAAAAATTGACCACTGTCTGGAAAATCTTCCACCTCCTGCACCCAACATCTTGCTCCTGGGGGATTTCAACTTAAGGCACCTAAAATGGAGGAATATAGCAAATAATATTGTTGCAGTAACAACACCAGGAGGCAGCTCTGATGAAAACTCACACTCACACGAGCTTTTAAATCTCTGCACAAAATTCAATTTAAACCAGCAAATAATAGAGCCTACTAGACTGGAGAATACACTAGACCTCATCTTCACTAACAATGATGATCTGATAAGAAATGTCACCATATCAAAAACAATATACTCAGATCACAACATAATTGAGGTTCAGACATGTATGCGTGGAGCCCCAGACCGACATAATGAGCTTAGTCACGAGGGAGCATTCACCAAATTCAACTTCAATAACAAAAACAAAGTGGGACCAAGTAAACCAAGTCCTAACTGATATAAGCTGGAAAGATATACTAAGCAACACAGACCCGAACTTATGCCTAGAACAGATTAACATGGTAGCACTCAATGTATGCACAAGGCTTATTCCTCTAAGAAAAAGGAGGAGTAGATGTAAAATAGAAAGAGACAGGCGCTCCCTTTACAGGCGACGGAAAAGAATAACAGAGCGGCTAAAAGAGGTCAATATATCTGAAATGTGTAGGGAGACACTGGTCAGAGAAATAGCAAGCATCGAACTTAAGCTAAAGGAATCTTATAGGAGTCAGGAATCGCGGGAAGAACTAAAAGCCATAAATGAAATCGAAAGAAACCCAAAGTATTTCTTCTCCTATGCCAAATCAAAGTCGAGAACAACGTCCAGTATTGGGCCCCTACTTAAACAAGATGGGTCCTACATAGATGACAGCAAGGAAATGAGTGAGCTACTGAAGTCCCAATATGACTCAGTTTTTAGCAAGCCGCTAACCAGACTGAGAGTCGAAGATCAAAATGAATTTTTTATGAGAGAGCCACAAAATTTGGTTAACACAAGCCTATCCGATGTTATCCTGACGCCAAATGACTTCGAACAGGCGATAAATGACATGCCCATGCACTCTGCCCCAAGGCCAGACTCATGGAACTCCGTGTTCATCAAGAACTGCAAGAAGCCCCTATCACGAGCCTTTTCCATCCTATGGAGAGGGAGCATGGACACGGGGGTCGTCCCACAGTTACTAAAAACAACAGACATAGCCCCACTCCACAAAGGGGGCAGTAAAGCAACAGCAAAGAACTACAGACCAATAACACTAACATCCCATATCATAAAAATCTTTGAAAAGGTCCTAAGAAGCAAGATCACCACCCATCTAGAAACCCATCAGTTACACAACCCAGGGCAACATGGGTTTAGAATAGGTCGCTCCTGTCTGTCTCAACTATTGGATCACTACGACAAGGTCCTAAATGCACTAGAAGACAAAAAGAATGCAGATGTAATATATACAGACTTTGCAAAAGCCTTCGACAAGTGTGACCATGGCATAATAGCGCACAAAATGCGTGCTAAAGGAATAACAGGAAAAGTCGGTCGATGGATCTATAATTTCCTCACTAACAGAACACAGAGAGTAGTCGTCAACAGAGTGAAGTCCGAGGCAGCTACGGTGAAAAGCTCTGTTCCACAAGGCACAGTACTCGCTCCCATCTTGTTCCTCATCCTCATATCTGACATAGACAAGGATGTTAGCCACAGCACCATGTCTTCCTTTGCAGATGACACCCGAATCTGCATGACAGTGTCTTCCATTGCAGACACTGCAAGGCTCCAGGCGGACATCAACCAAATCTTTCAGTGGGCTGCAGAAAACAATATGAAGTTCAATGATGAGAAATTTCAATTACTCAGATATGGTAAACACGAGGAAATTAAATCTTCACCAGAGTGCAAAACAAATTCTGGCCACAAAATAGAGCAAAACACCAACGTCAAAGACCTGGGAGTGATCATGTCGGAGGATCTCACCTTCAAGGACCATAACATTGTATCAATCGCATCTGCTAGAAAAATGACAGGATGGATAATGAGAACCTTCAAAACTAGGGAGGCCAAGCCCATGATGACACTCTTCAGGTCACTTGTTTTATCTAGGCTGGAATATTGCTGCACACTAACAGCACCTTTCAAGGCAGGTGAAATTGCTCACCTAGAAAATGTACAGAGAACCTTCACGGCGAGCATAACGGAGATAAAACACCTCAATTACTGGGAGCGCTTGAGGTTCCTAAAACTGTATTCCCTGGAACGCAGGCGGGAGAGATACATGATTATATACATCTGGAAAATCCTCGAGGGACTAGTACCGAACTTGCACACGAAAATCACTCACTACGAAAGCAAAAGACTTGGCAGACGATGCAACATCCCCCCAATGAAAAGCAGGGGTGTCACTAGCACGTTAAGAGACCATACAATAAGTGTCAGGGGCCCGAGACTGTTCAACTGCCTCCCAGCATACATAAGGGGGATTACCAACAGACCCCTGGCAGTCTTCAAGCTGGCACTGGACAAGCACTTAAAGTCGGTTCCTGACCAGCCGGGCTGTGGCTCGTACGTTGGTTTGTGTGCAGCCAGCAGCAACAGCCTGGTTGATCAGGCTCTGATCCACCAGGAGGCCTGGTCACAGACCAGGCCGCGGGGGCGTTGACCCCCGGAACTCTCTCCAGGTAAATTCCAGGTATATGCTTCTACACTGTTGTGTTTTGAGCACCTCTGCAAAAACAGTGATTATGTGTGAGTGAGGTGAAAGTGTTGAATGATGATGAAAGCATTTTCTTTTTGGGGATTTTCTTTCTTTTTGAGTCACCCTGCCTCGGTGGGAGATGGCTGACTTGTTGGAAAAAAAAAAAAATTATTTCTTTTCTCCAGTATACAGATAGTTTACAATAAAATATTGTTAGGCACAAAAGGCCATTAGCATGCAGTGTATTTTGGGCAGACTAATTCTAATACAGTGGACCCCCGCTTAACGATCACCTCCCAATGCGACCAATTATGTAAGTGTATTTATGTAAGTGCGTTTGTACGTGTATGTTTGGGGGTCTGAAATGGACTAATCTACTTCACAATATTCCTTATGGGAACAAATTCGGTCAGTACTGGCACCTGAACATACTACTGGAATGAAAAAATATCGTTAAACGGGGGTCCACTGTACTTAAAGACTAATTAACAACTAGACATAGGTTATTAAGTAAGAACTTTTCAATGTACAATAGTACAACTTAAGTATGTATTAATACAGTGGAACCTTAATTTTCGCGATTAGTCCGTTCGAAAAAGTCTGATGAAAACTGAATCGTACAAAAACTTGAAGCAATGTTTCCCACAAGAAATAATGTAAATCCAATTAATCCATTCCAGACACCCAAAAATATTAACAAAAAATACACTTCATAGAGAATAACTATAGTTAGTCTCGAAAACCAGGGCACATGAAAACCGACGTTCCACTGTACAATAAAGTGATTCAGTGATCTTCAGTTATACAGTGTAAACTCTACATCAATAAATTTAATGGATTAATGATTCCTGACACACACTGAAATAAAACATAAAACTAACCAGTTACTTTGGGGTCCAAGGTCCCAGAATGTCCAGTTTTTTCTAAGCGGAGGATTTGTTTTATCCAGGCCACAACTTCATGTGAGGAGGGATTGGAAGGCTTATCAAGATTGATGACTCCAGCTTTAAGATAATCACTAATATTACGCTTTAGTGGTGAGCAACCATGAGGCAGTGGAGTGTAATGGTTGGTACGCACATTTAGTTTGTCAAAGTTCTGAAAATCAACAAGTTTAGAATTCAGTGTACTACACATTTTCAATTGGTACAATATAATTGGACACCCTATACCATACTAATTCTCACTCGAAAATTAACACAGTTTTGCCATGTTCAGAGATATAGTTTTCAGTTTCACACTAATGTCAGCTAATATCCATCACAGAAAAATTAAATTAAGACTTACCTTCAGTAACAGAGGCCACTGAGAAGTATCAATGGATTTTGCCGGTACAGCTGACGGCTCGATTGCAAATGAAGTTTCCTGGTGTATCTCGCCTAAGGATTTTTTTTCCTTTTTCTTTTTTCCTCCTGTATTATTAACTTCCTCCATTGTCCCCAATATATCTTAAAAAAAGAAAAATGAATAGGTTGAAAATCTGACACAGGCCCTACTACACATCAGGTTCGCACTTCTTTGGTGCATGTAGGTATAAACTGCACACTAACCATATTCAACCTTAAATATAAAAATAAATTTGATAACAAGCAGTACTTGATGATGGCCTGCTCTGTCCTGATCTTCCTTTGAACACTGAAACTAAAAGCTCAGGTAGCTTTAAAAGTTGGATATATAAATAAATCACTGAGGTTGACTTTTGTGTGTTATCCGGGTGGGTAATCTACACACATGCTGCTATGTACGATTATTTATGTAACTGTCTTTGTGTGTACCTGAATAAACTTGTCTGGTGTAATGGGGAACCAATCACTTCAGTATCCTCAGTAAAATATCTGGGAATACCCTATGACCCATACACGTCAGGAGAACTGATTGGGAATAGCGTAGTAAAGAAGGCGAATGCCAGACTGAAGTTCCTCTACAGACAAGCACAGTGTCTACCTACTGAGGCTCACAGGACGCTATGTCTAGCACTTATACAATGTCATATGGACTACGCTTGCTCTTCATGGTACTCTGCCTTGACAAAAAACTGAAAGATAGACTGCAAATCACCCAGAACAAAATGGTAAGATTCATCCTGGACCTGGGTCCAAGAGAACATGTAGCCCAGAATGAATTACAACAACTGGATATGCTGAATGTTGAAGACAGTAAAACAACTGAAGTTAAATCAAGTTTATAAAATTGCTCATAGACAGTGTCCAGACTATCTTGCTGCCAATTTTGTCAAGGTTGAGAACCAAAGCAATCATAGTACTAAGGGGAGAGAGCACAACTTTGTAGTACCCACAGTCATTGGCCAGGCTTTAAACACCTTTTATTGTACAGCAATAAAGTAATGGAACAGACTGCCTGCACATGTCAAGGCCAGTCATAGCATGAACCAGTTCAAGAAGAGTGCCAAAAGGTGTCTGATGAATGTAGCTACAGAAAGGGAGGAGAATTATTTTTTAATTTTTAACTAACACACATGTAAATATAAACAACTAATTTCACCTTATTCCTAGTATAATAATAAGATATCTCCTTTATAGTATAATAATAAAGTATTAAAAGGACCCCAATGGAAATAAGCCACTCTGACTCTTTTGGGTTATCCCTGGTTTTCTACACGTATGCTGCTATGTATGATAATCTATATAACTGTATTTGTGTATACCCGAATAAACTTACATCTGCCAAGCACGGACCAGTACAACCTGCCTAGTATGGACAGATAGGACCTGCCAAGCATGGACCAGTAGGACCTGCCTAGCATGGACAGGTAGGACCTGCCAAGCATGGATCAGTAGGACCTGCCAAGCATGGACCAGTAGGACTTGCCTAGCATGGACAGGTAGGACCTGCCTAGCATGGACCAGTACAACCTGCCTAGCATGGACAGATAGGACCTGCCAAGCATGGACCAGTGCAACCTGCCTAGCATGGACAGGTAGGACCTGCCAAGCATGGACCAGTAGGACCTGCCTAGCATGGACAGGTAGGACCTGCCTAGCATGGACCAGTACAACCTGCCTAGCATGGACAGATAGGACCTGCCAAGCATGGACCAGTATGACCTGCCTAGCATGGACAGGTAGGACCTGCCAAGCATGGACCAGTAGGACCTGCCTAGCATGGACCAGTGGAACCTGCCAAGCATGGACCAGTAGAACCTGCCAAGCATGGACCAGTAGAACCTGCCAAGCATGGACCAGTAGGACCTGCCTAGCATGGACAAATAGGACCTGCCTAGCATGGACAGGTAGGACCTGCCAAGCATGGACCAGTGGAACCTGCCAAGCATGGACCAGTGGAACCTGCCAAGCATGGACCAGTAGAACCTGCCAAGCATGGACCAGTAGAACCTGCCAAGCATGGACCAGTAGAACCTGCCAAGCATGGACCAGTAGAACCTGCCAAGCATGGACCAATAGAACCTGCCAAGCATGGACCAGTAGAACCTGCCAAGCATGAACCAGCAGAACCTACCTAGCATGGACCAGTAGGACCTGCCAAGCATGAACCAGCAGAACCTACCTAGCATGGACCAGTAGGACCTGCCAAGCATGAACCAGCAGAACCTACCTAGCATGGACCAGTAGGACCTGCCAAGCATGGACCAGTAGGACCTGCCAAGCATGAACCAGCAGAACCTACCTAGCATGGACCAGTAGGACCTGCCAAGCATGGACCAGTAGAACCTGCCAAGCATGGACCAGTAGGACCTGCCTAGCATGGACCAGTAGAACCTACCTAGCATGGACCAGTAGAACCTACCTAGCATGGACCAATAGAACCTGCCAAGCATGGACCAGTAGAACCTGCCAAGCATGGACCAGTAGGACCTGTCAAGCATGGACCAGTAGGACCTGCCAAGCATGGACCAGTAGGACCTACCTAGCATGGACCAGTAGAACCTACCTAGCATGGACAAGTAGGACCCACCTATCATGGACCAATAGGACCTGCCTAACATGGACCAGTAGGATCTACCTAGCATGGACCAGTAGGGTGGCCCCGTGGCCTGGTGGCTAAAGCTCCCGCTTCACACACGGAGGGCCCGGGTTCGATTCCCGGCGGGTGGAAACATTCCGACACGTTTCCTTACACCTGTTGTCCTGTTCACCTAGCAGCAAATAGGTACCTGGGTGTTAGTCGACTGGTGTGGGTCGCATCCTGGGGGACAAGATTAAGGACCCCAATGGAAATAAGTCAGACAGTCCTCGATGATGCACTGACTTTCTTGGGTTATCCTGGGTGGCTAACCCTCCGGGGTTAAAAATCCGAACGAAATCTTATCTTATCTAGGACCCACCTAGCATGGACCAGTAGGACCTACCTAGCATGGACCAGTAGGACCCACCTAGCATGGACCAGTAGGACCTACCTAGCATGGACCAGTAGGACCCACCTAGCATGGACCAATAGGACCTGCCTAGCATGGACCAGTAGGACCTACCTAGCATGGACCAGTAGGACTCACCTAGCATGGACCAATAGGACCTGCCTAGCATGGACAAGTAGGACCTACCTAGCATGGACCAGTGGGACCTACCTAGCATGGACCAGTAGGACCCACCTAGCATGGACCAATAGGACCTGCCTAGCATGGACAAGTAGGACCTACCTAGCATGGACCAGTGGGACCTACCTAGCATGGACCAGTAGGACCTACCTAGCATGGACCAGTAGGACCTACCTAGCATGGACAAGTAGGACCTACCTAGCATGGACCAGTGGGACCTACCTAGCATGGACCAGTAGGACCTACCTAGCATGGACCAGTAGGACCTACCTAGCATGGACCAGTAGGACCTACCTAGCATGGACCAGTGGGACCTACCTAGCATGGACCAGTAGGACCTACCTAGCATGGACCAGTAGGACCTACCTAGCATGGACCAGTGGGACCTACCTAGCATGGACCAGTGGGACCTACCTAGCATGGACCAGTAGGACCTACCTAGCATGGACCAGTAGGACCTACCTAGCATGGACCAGTATCTTAATGGTGCTAGTTCATTAGACAATAATATATTATTCCTCAGTGCATATTGATCCAGAAGGGATCAATGTGTGGTAATATAACCAGTGCTGCATAAAAATCAAAACCAAAAACCAAAATAAACACGAATCTATTTCAAAATATTTCCAAGTCATTCAAACAGACCAACAGCGGGGGGACTCACCTATTAACAGCTCCTCCGGGTGAAATAAACACTCTTCCACTCAAATTTCTGGGTGTAGCGACGGAGCATTCACTAGCTAAGCTGCCACACGATGCAACGAGGTGGTTGAAGTGTGGTAACGAGGTCAGGAGGGTGAAAAACGTTGGATGTATCAAGTGCATGAGACGCGGTGTTCAGCCATGTTGTTTGTTGACGAGCACGTGTGTGTGTCTGCCTCCTGCCTCCCACTTGGAAAATATTTACCTACCTTATACTAATACTTTTAATAACTGCATCAATGTAATTTTTAAATTAGAGTATTTGGGTATTTTTTTTATATTTTTTTATGAGCCGCACAGGAGTGATTACATCGACTCCAGACTGAGAGATTCGTTACCTCATTTCTTTCAGTATTCACCATTCTTATAATAATAATAATTATAATAATATAATATATCTTTATTTCTACAAGTACATGTAATACAGACCATAGCTGACATCAGTGACATCAATGTAGAAAGCCCCTTGTTATGCTGAGCATTTCCCGCAAATTAGGTCACTCTTGTCCCGGGATGCGACCAGTGGAGTGCAGAGGGAACCTCGAAGGAGCGGTGACCCCGGGCATCAAAATGGCGAGGGGGCATCTAATTAGAGGGGGAAATAAGATAGTGGTTTGGGGCATACAATCAAGGAGTCTTGAGCATACAATCAAGGAGTCTTTGGGGCAGACAATCAAGGAGTCTTGAGCATACAATCAAGGAGTCTTGAGCATACAATCAAGGAGTCTTTGGGGCAGACAATCAAGGAGTCTTGAGCATACAATCAAGGAGTCTTGAGCATACAATCAAGGAGTCTTGAGCATAAAATCAAGGAGTCTTGAGCATACAATCAAGGAGTCTTGAGCATACAATCAAGGAGTCTTTGGGGCAGACAATCAAGGAGTCTTGAGCATACAATCAAGGAGTCTTGAGCATACAATCAAGGAGTCTTGAGTATACAATCAAGGAGTCTTGAGCATAATCAAGGAGTCTTGAGCATACAATCAAGGAGTCTTGAGTATACAATCAAGGAGTCTTGAGCATACAATCAAGGAGTTTTGAGCATACAATCAAGGAGTCTTGAGCATACAATCAAGGAGTTTTGACCATATAGTCAAGGAGTCTTGAGCATACAATCAAGGAGTCTTTGGGGCATACAATCAAGGAGTCTTGAGCATACAATCAAGGAGTCTTTGAGCCATACAATCAAGGAGTCTTGAGCATACAATCAAGGAGTCTTGAGCATACAATCAAGGAGTCTTGAGCATACAATCAAGGAGTCTTGAGCATACAATCAAGGAGTCTTGAGTATACAATCAAGGAGTCTTGAGCATACAATCAAGGAGTCTTGAGCATACAATCAAGGAGTCTTGAGCATACAATCAAGGAGTCTTTGGGGCATACAATCAAGAAGTCTTTGGGGCATATAATCAAGAAGTCTTGAGCATACAATCAAGGAGTCTTTGGGGCATACAATCAAGGACTCTAGGGGCATACAATCAAGGCGTTGGCCCCGGGCATCACCAGACCTCTGCTCGCCACAGGATGCGACCCACACCAGTCGGCTAACACGCAGGTACTTATTTTACTGCCATATCGGAGAAGCTGGAATTTGTCTTCATTGACCATCATATTGTTTTCCGTTGCCCATTGGAAAACTTAGTTTATATCTTGTTGGAGATTTACCGTGTACTCAATGGATGATAGTCTCATGGAGATTCTAGTATCGTCTGCAAAGATTAGAGATTTTTTAGATTTTGCCACCGAAGTGGCTAGTTTATTGTGCACCCCATATCCATCCTGTGGACGGTAGCGCGAGAGCATATGGATACACAAAAGGCCTAGGAACTAGGCCCCAAAGGGCTAACAGGAATACATATGGATTTATATCTACATATCTATAGTTCACTTATCTGTTACAAGCAAATTTAGGAAATTTGCATAGTATATCTGGTATCTTATTTTCATTAATAAGATATCTTGACATGTCACATAGGTTATTATACTGTCTGTCTCTGTATTCCTCAATAAGTGGACAATTAATCACATAGTGTTCAAGACAGTGACCATATGCCTGATCACATAATCGTCAGCAAAGGATGATACAGCGCTGTGGTTTACATCTCTGTCTGTCTCATATGAGGATGATAAACAGAATGGGGGAGAGTACTGTGCCTTGTGGAACAGAGCTCTTCACTATGGCAGCTTCCGATTTAACTCTGTTTACCATTACTCTTTGTGTTTGACTGGTTAGAAAGTTGAAGATCCATCTGCCTACTTTGTCAGTAATCCCTTCAGCACGCATTTTGTGAGTTATTACACCATTATCGCACTTGTTAAGGCTTTTGGCAAATGTGTGAGTACTACATCTACATTCTGTTTGTCTTAGGGTGCATCCAGAACCATACCATAGTAGTCCAGTAGTTGCGAGGCAGGAGCGACCTTCTCTAAAGCCATGTTGACCTGGATTATGCAATTGTTGGGAATCCATCCTAACTTAGATAAGGGAAAAATAAAATGTGTTGGGATTTATAACCCGGGGGAGGGTTATCCACCCAGGATAACCCAGGGGAGGGTTAGTCACCCAGGATAACCCAGGGGAGGGTTAGCTACCCAGGATACCCTGGGGTAGGGAGGGTGGGCCACCCAGGACAACCTGGGGTAGGGACGGTGGGCCACCCAGGATAACCTGGGGTAGAGAGGGTTAGCCACCCAGTATAACCCAGGGGAGGGTTAGCCACCCAGTATAACCCAGGGGAGGGTTAGCCACCCAGTATAACCCAGGGGAGGGTTAGCCACCCAGTATAACCCAGGGGATGGTTAGCCACCCAGTATAACCCAGGGGAGGGTTAGCCACCCAGTATAACCCAGGGGATGGTTAGCCACCCAGTATAACCCAGGGGAGGGTTAGCCACCCAGTACAACCCAGGGGAGGGTTAGCCACCCAGTATAACCCAGGGGATGGTTAGCCACCCAGTATAAACCCAGGGGAGGGTTAGCCACCCAGTACAACCCAGGGGAGGGTTAGCCACCCAGTATAACCCAGGGGATGGTTAGCCACCCAGTATAACCCAGGGGAGGGTTAGCCACCCAGGATAACCCAAGAAAGTCAGTGCGTCATCCAGGACTGTCTTATTTCCATTGTGGTCCTTCAATCTTGTCCCCCAGGATGCCACCCACACCAGTCAACTAACACCCAGGTACCTACTTATTGCTAGGTGAACAGTGAAAGCAGGTGTAAGGTGACTAACACCCAGGTGCCTACTCACTGCTAGGTGAACAGGGACAGCAGATGTAAGGAAATACGCACATTTCCTCCCGTGTCGGGGATCGCACCACGGACACTTAGTGCTAGAGGCGAGAACGTTGCCAACCAAGCCACGGTAGATTTCTATGAGACGAAATTACTAAAACATCAATGTTGTTTTAATGGGTAACTTTAACTTTAGCTAAACTGACTGGAGCAGCGTGACAGGAAATCTTGAGTTTAGCGACTTTCTAAACACGAGGCAGAATTGTTATAATCTGCTCGACTAGCTACTTAATTAAGAAGGTAGGGAAGGAAGGTGAATTACAGCAGGTTTACTGGCCCATGTGTATACCTGCAGTACATCTGGAGGTGGTTTTGGGGGTCAACGCCCCCGCGGCCCGGTCTGTGACTAGGCTTCATAGTGGATCAGGGCCTGATGAACTAGGCTGTTACTGATGGCCTCAAGTAAACCGACGTACGAACCACAGCTCGGCTGGTCAGGTATTGACTAAGTACCTCTCCAAAGCCTTAAAGACAGCCAGGGGTTCTACTGGTCATCCCCTTTATTTATGCTGGGAGGCAGTTGTACAGTCTTGGGCCCCTGAGAATTATTGTGTTGCCTCTTATCGTGCTAGTGACACCCCTGCTTGTCATTGGGGAGATGTTGCATCGTCTACCGAGTTTTTTGCTTTCGTAGGGAGTAATTTCGTAGGATTTTCCAAGTGTATATAATCATGTATCTCTTCCGCCTGCGTTCCAGGGAGTACAGGTCGAGGAGAAACCTTTCATCAATAAAGTTACCCAACTGTTGCACATGTGTCTTATTCATCAATCTGTCGATATTTTATACCATTTCCCTCATAGGCAGGTCTGACTCACACCCCCTCGTGTACTTTTTTAAGCAGTTTTTAAAACAACACAAGGTTTTAGCTTCAACTACATTACTCAGGAGTTTGTTCCACTCATTCACAACTGTTACAAAACCATTGTTTTCCTAAACCCTTTCTAAATCTAATTCTTTCTAACTTAAACCCATTGCTGCGAATCCTGTCTTGGTTAGATATTTTCAGCATGTTATTTACATCCCCTTTATTTATTCCTGTTTTCCATTTATACACCTCAATCATATTCCCCCTAATTCTACGCCTTTCTAGAGTGTCTAGATTCAGGGCCTCAGTCTATCCTCGTAGGAGAGATCTCTGATACATGGGATCAACTTTGTCATCCTCCTCTGTGTTTCCCAGCGCATTTATGTCCATTCTGTAATACTGAGACCAGAAATGTTCATTCTGTAATACTGAAACCAGAAATGTTCATTCTGTAATACTGAGACCAGAAATGTTCATTCTGTAATACTGAGATCAGAAATGTTCATTCTGTAATACTGAGACCAGAAATGTTCATTCTGTAATACTGAGACCAGAAATGTTCATTCTGTAATACTGAGACCAGAAATGTTCATTCTGTAATACTGAGACCAGAAATGTTCATTCTGTAATACTGAGACCAGAAATGTTCATTCTGTAATACTGAGACCAGAAATGTTCATTCTGTAATACTGAGACCAGAAATGTTCATTCTGTAATACTGAGACCAGAAATGTTCATTCTGTAATACTGAGACCAGAAATGTTCATTCTGTAATACTGAGACCAGAAATGTTCATTCTGTAATACTGAGACCAGAAATGTTCATTCTGTAATACTGAGACCAGAAATGTCCATTCTATAATACTGAGACCAGAAATGTTCATTCTATAATACTGAGACCAGAAATGTTCATTCTGTAATACTGAGACCAGAAATGTCCATTCTATAATACTGAGACCAGAAATGTTCATTCTATAATACTGAGACCAGAAATGTTCATTCTATAATACTGAGACCAGAAATGTTCATTCTGTAATACTGAGACCAGAACTGAGCAACATTTACGACC